ACCAGTTTGGTTTGCAGAGTCTGTTTAGAGTCTGTGTATGTTGTTGACAAAAAAAAAAAAAAAAAAAACTATACATTCTCTTTGGATGACAATCTAATATGTTTACATGTTTAAAATATAGACCAACTCACCACATAATCCCAAATATATAATAAATACTCATAATATAAATATTTATCTTACACCATAATACAAGTACTTAGCTGTATATTATATGTCTCACTTTTTAATAATTATTAAATCTAATATTCATTATTTATAAACATATATAATTTATTAAAATAACAATATAATTCATGCAAAACCATATATACCTATAATGGGGTATTTATCGGTTGTTCCATCAAATTTAATAAATTAATGGATTAACCTATTTTATTTTCGTAAATATGAAATTATATTTATCTAAGCTGTAAATTATAAAATAATTTGTCAATCTATGGTTTTACGCATATTTTCGTATGAATAATAACCTAATATAAATTTAAATCATAAATATGATAAGAAATATGGATGGTGTAGTTGACGGTTCAAAAGAGTTACTCAATATAAATTATTAATTTATTGTATTTAAAATGACATATTAAATAACTATTTAATACGCATGAATATTAAAAATATTTATCACTATTTATATAAAGTAATTATTAACTTAAGAAAAAAAGATAGTATGAAAATGCAGGTCAAGCTCTAGATAATGTTTAAAACAACGGGAATACATAAAATTAACGTTGATAGATCACATTTCAAATGGTTACATTTTATGTTTTAAAATTCATAAAGCTATGTTTCATTTCGGATATAAGAATAGACCCTTTTAAATATTGTTAAATACTAGTGAAATGTTCACAACTTCATACACGTATCCATTGACTATTGATATGAGAACAGAAAAAATACCCTCAAAATAATTATACTTAATTATGCCGATCCTGAGCTGATTATTAATGAATTCGACTAATTATATAGGAAACTTAATGAGAATTTTTCAGAAAAAGACAACTCAGTTCCTGTGAATTACATGATTTATTTTTTTGTCTATATTACCTGCAAATTAAATTGGGGAAATGACTTGGTTTTAGATTCGGATTCCTAATCGCTGGCTTGGCCGGCCTAACTATTTTCTTTTAGTTGGTAAAGGATTCACATGAGTTCTCTCCACATCAACCAATATCATAACACGTGATAAAGAACCTTTTTCTTATTTCCTTTATTTTTCCAGAAGACAGAAGAAGAAAGATCATCAAGGCCTATCTCGTAGACTTTGTTTTTGTCCTCTTCTGTCCAAAAACCAGAAAGAAACTTTTCCAGCCGACCATCAAAAAGAAGAATCTCATAGAATCTTGAGTTTCTTGACAATGGAGTCTTTGAAGAACAGAACCTTGCTTAAGGTCATTGTCCTCGGAGATAGCGGGTAATCATTTTCTCAAACTTTTCTTTAAGATTTTTCAAGACTTGTCTCTTTTTCTGAATCTTTATTTATGCAGGGTAGGCAAAACTTCGTTGATGAACCAGTATCCTCTGTAAAATCATGCCGTTCAAACTTATAGATCGGTCTGATTTTATGCTAAATATTCGGTTTTTTTAATGCCCAAGCTCTAAGTTAGATCTATGTATGTTTCTTTATATGGTCTTTGTAAGAAACCTTAAGTTGTGACTTAAGATACGTGTACAAGAAGTTTAACCGGCAATATAAGGCCACGATAGGAGCAGATTTTGTCACCAAGGAGCTTCATATTGAAGAAAAATCTGTCACCTTACAAGTAAATTTATTAAATGCTTCCGTGTATCACAAGTTAAACATTTTTCAATGCAAAAAAAGTCTTATGAAACTCTGTTTTTTTTTTAGATATGGGATACGGCCGGACAAGAGAGATTTCATAGTCTAGGAGCTGCGTTCTATAGAGGTGCTGATTGTTGCGTTCTTGTCTATGATGTGAATGATCTCAAATCTTTTGAAACGCTCAACAGTTGGCACTCGGAGTTCCTCAAACAGGTTTTGCCCTAATTATCTTGTTTCTTGCACTAGAAGTTACAGTTATTCTGTATTTATTTTCGAAAGTCTGATTAATTTTGCTTTCCAGGCAAATCCTGTGGAACCTGAGAGTTTTCCTTTTGTTTTGATTGGTAACAAAACCGATGTAGATGGCGGAAACACCCGAGTTGTAAGGCGCTATATTTTTTTGATGAATCTCCTCTTTAGACCCATCAGAAACCCTAACTTCAGTTTATACAGGTTGCAGAAAAGAGAGCCATTGAATGGTGTGGTGCAAAGGGAAACATACCGTACTATGAAACCTCTGCAAAGGATAATGTTAATGTGGATGAAGCTTTTGGGGGTGTTGCACACAAAACTCTTTCCTGTGAAATTAAACAAAACATGTGAGTTTCTATATCAACTTTGATTCATAGACACATTTAATTCTCTTTTTTTCTAAGGTTTTTTATGTTTAATTGTTTTGTCTTTGAATTTTGCAGATACATCCCAGTTATTTCTGAATCTTTTGCAGGCATTCATGACGAGGAGAAGTCAAAGCGTTGTTCTTGCTGATTCATACTTAACATATCTGATCAATGATATCTACTCCAGGCTCTTATGCATTTAACCTTTTTCTTTTTTTAAAATTATATGTCGGGTTTACATCAGCTACAAAGGTTTATTAACCAAAACTGATACATTGAACGACCTGAGTGTTGTGTGATTCAAGTTAAGCAGTTTTTTTTAAAAAAAATTATGTTCCAAGTTTGTGTTAATTACATTCATACAATACAATCCTTTGGTATTTTTCGACCTATATGTGTTTCATTGATTTGTTTTTTTTTTTTTGTCTTAAGCCAACGTTCATGTTTGGCATTTAAAAGGAAAACACACTTTGGTTGTTTTTGGTTTAAAGTCAATCAAATCTCAACTTTTTGAAAATATAACTTTTTCTTTTTTTTTGAAAATACAACTTGAATAAAAATTACATGTTGATCATAAATTTGATCATGCACCACACGAAACTAGATATTGTAATACAATAGTCACATTAATAAAATGTAAACATGAACCATGACAAGCCTCCACGTTTGTTACACACATCAAAACTCATATAAGTTTGTTCATTGCCAAAGCCTTTATGGGTCAACGCTGCCTAGTGTTGGCCATGGAAACCCTCCTTCTTGGTGGGCCAAAATAATGTGGACCTTGTGCCAGGATGTGATAATAACCCAGTCTGATCTCAGATGCATAATAATAATAATAATAATTCTATTTTTACCAACAGTATGGTAAAAATAAAATTAATATGAAGAACGTAAAAATACTGGATTTAAAACTCCAAAATAATAATTCTGTGTTAAATGATTTTTGTATAGAAGTAGAAAAAAACACCTTCGTAACTGAAAATATAAATGCATTAAAAACTAAAAATGTAATTTCGAAAATTGGTTCAGATACTGTAATAACAATGAGGACTAAATCTGAACCGTCGATGAGTAATCAACGGTGTACGATGAAGCAAGAGTCCACCGTAAAAGAATAACACTTGCGCTACTCCATCGGTCAGATAGATAGGGATCTCTCTGTCAACAGCAGCACAAACCCTAATTCCAACAAAGCGAGATTTCGATTTCGATTTCGAAAAACAAAATGGCCTACGCTTCTCGCTTCCTCTCCAGATCTAAGCAGGTATCCATACTCTCCCTCTCTCCGCTTCATCCTTGTGATTCATTTCAATCTTCTTCTTCTTCTTGTGTCTGCTTGATTCCTCCGATTTCTGTGTTGAGAAGAGTGAGATGATGGTTTCTATCATCATAGTTAGTGCTGTTCTCGAATTTTTTGTTAGCTTCTGGAAAAGTCTCGATCGGAGATTATTTTTGAATCGAATGAGATATTTTATTATATGTGTGTGATCGTTACTTATTTCATTGATTGGGTTGTTATGATTTTGTGCAGTTACAAGGGAGTCTGGTCATTTTGCAGCAGAATGCTATTCCCGTCCGCTCTTTTGCCAAGGAAGCTGCTCGTCCTACTTTTAAAGGAGATGGTTTGTCTCTTTAATTTTTTTGAATTTTTATTTATTTGTAAAAACATTATGGTTAGTTGAATTCGTTGCTTCTGGACCTCTGGGTTTATGTTTTGGAGTTCAACAGGGTGTCTGGTTGAGAAAAAAAATGTCAAATTTACTTACTTGATGTTAGAGCATCTCTAACCCCACTCCATAATTTACTGCAAAATGAAGCGGAAATGGAGTAATGAATAAACAAAAAAGTGATTACTCTATAAAAGGGGGAGTAATGAGTTTTTTGTTTCTTCATCACTCCATTTTGCAGTAAATTATGGAGTGGGGTTAGAGATGCTCTTAGATAACTGAGCATTGTAATTGAAAAGATTACTTTTTTTTTTTTGGTCAGTGGGATATATATTCTTGAGAAACCGAGCATTGTACTTTTTTGTGAAGAAGTTGAATTATCTCTTTGCTTCTTCATTTTTCGTTGTGGTGTTGAAATCTGTAGTCTGTGTTTAGAGTGAGTTGAGGGCATTGTGTTGTGGACTAAAGTTTTACACTTTTTTTTTTTGTACAGAGATGTTGAAGGGGGTCTTTACGGAGATCAAGAACAAGTTTCAGGCTGCAGTTGATATTCTCCGCAAGGAAAAGATCACCCTTGATCCTGAGGACCCTGCTGCGGTTAAACACTATGCTAATGTCATGAAGACCATCAGGCAAAAGTAGGCTTCTAGTTATCATTCCTTGGATATTTTTGTTGTTTTTCTCGGTTGTATGTTGCTGTCTCTATTTATGTTTGTTGAGAGTTGATACTTCCTGAATCTTATGTCTCTTATGGGTCAGGGTTGTGAGATACATTGCTAACTCTTTTTGCTTGTTATGCTTATTCCTTGAATGCAGGGCTGACATGTTCTCTGAATCTCAACGCATTAGATATGATATTGAGAACGAGACTAAAGAGATCCCAGATGCTCGTTCTTACCTCTTGAAGTTGAAGGACATCCGCACCAGGTCAGTGTTGTATTATCTCGTACGTGATTGTTAAGCAATCATCTGAAAGCTGCATTATCCGTGTTTTATTTAACTTTTTTTTTTTCATGCTGTGGTGTGAATTACTTGATAAGTGTTAAAAGCAGTCTTGGTTGAGTTATTCATGTGCTAGTGATATATATTGCAGGAGAGGTCTTACAGATGAGCTAGGTGCTGAGGCCATGATGTTTGAGGCTTTGGAGAAAGTTGAAAAGGATATTAAGAAGCCTCTCTTGAGAAGCGACAAAAAAGGAATGGATCTTTTGGTTGCAGAGTTCGAAAAAGGCAACAAAAAGTGCGTTAATATCACACTCTTCAAACACCACCCATACTAAACGAGAACAAAATATTTTTCCCATTGCTCCCTAAAATATTAGAGCTAATGAAATGATATGATTGCATCTGTTTAACCTGAACAACAGGCTTGGGATTAAGAAAGAAGATCTCCCGAAGTACGAGGAGAACGTGGAGCTCAGCATTGCCAAAGCACAGCTAGATGAGCTCAAGAGTGATGCTCTTGAAGCTATGGAATCTCAGAAAAAGAAGTACGACTTTTTTTGTGTTATCTTCTTTCAATTTCTGTAATCCATCATGTTATGATAACACACGAGTTTGGAACTTGTGATTCTTCAGGGAGGAGTTCAAGGATGAGGAAATGCCTGACGTGAAATCGTTGGACATCCGTAACTTTATGTAAGGTTTGATGATGATCCTAAGAAGCATTTGATTTGTTGCAAGGATGGCAGAAGAAAGGACTCTCTCATGTCATTGTTCTCTTTTGCTGTGTTTGGTTTGGCGATTAATAAGGTCTCTCTCTCACCATGGATTTGAAAATACCAAATGGTGTCTAACTTTCTCTGTGGTTTTACGCTTGAGATTTTTTAGGCATAATCGTGTCTTCATGTGTTTTTTGATAATGGTGATAAATGAATTTCAAAGTTACATTTAAATAAAAGAAAAGTTTATGTTCGACCCAAAGTGTTCAGAATTATACCTCTCCCAGTCTGACCAATATATTTGGTATGGGTTGGTTTCACGTCATAATTGTAAGATGCGTGGTGCGGAACTAACCAAGCAGTGTTTGAACCAAATGTAAGCCTTGTGGACTAGGTGTGTAGCTACAGATGGATTGTTTCTTATGAATGTCGAGCGTTTTCTTTTCTCTTTGTGTACTACAAAAACAGAAATGTCTAGAATTTGATGCAAAAACCCTGAGAAGCTATGTACCTCCTATGCCGAGTTTTCGGAGAGCTCGAGGTATGTCATGAGACACCACATACAGGTTATGGAGGGAAGGAAAAGTAACACTGAAACGTGTTAAGAGAAGCAACAGTGAACACAACCATAACACATTGTTGGAGAGGATGATCACATAGAGCACATTATTATTTATTTATTTTTTTAACGCTATTTATTATAATATTATAATTATAAGAAAGATTAAAAAGACGATTTGACAACCAATAATACTACCTATGATTATCTACACCTAACTGTTATCACCTGAGTCATCATGTTTTATGAAGACTCATGCCTGGCTGAATTTATTTCCACCATGTTTGAAGATCTCTTGTAGGCTTTTCTTTCATAGTCTGCATAATTATTTAATAAATTGTTTTCGAAGATTGAAACATGAACTTCTTAATGTAAAAGCATTAATGAACCCTCAGTCAAACTATTGAATTAAGGGGTTTCCACAGAAGACATGATTATTTATGTATAAGTTCGCGGAGTACTACAAATATGTAATGTATTGCATCAAGCTAGAGCTATATTGAAATTTGTGTATGGATTGTTTGAACTTGAAAAATGAAATGGAAAATATATATATCTTTATATATAAAGTCATGTTTACTCATTTCTGATGATGCTACGTAGGGGGACAGGTCAGAAAGTTGTCTCCTTTATACGCGACATGTATCTGGTTCGGAAGAAACTCATCATATTATTAACTTTCTCCCCGTAATCTGTTGGGCATGTCTTATTTTATCTGAGAATCTTGCATTATTGAACCTGTACCAATATAGAACGTTGTGATATGATGTGTTCGGCGTTTTTTATTTTGTCTTCTATCACTTTCTCTTCTCTGCCGTAAGAAATTTTAGGGTTTTCATAGAAATAGAGACTTCTTATTTCTGATCCAGCAATCAATCGGTGTCATATTCATCTTCTTCCTACTTATCATTCCATTCGTCACAATCATCTTAGCACTAGAAACTTACACATAGTAGAATGGCTTACTTCTTTCTCCTCCTTGATGACTTGAAAGCCTGGCGATTTAGCACCACTGAATTCCATCTACTTAGATTCTGGGAGGCAGAGCCGCTTATGCAAGCACCAGCACCGGCCAAGGAATGAAAAGAGAGGTGGCAAGCTGACATGCTGCTCCTGGACGTAGAGGTAATCCCGTCAAACAACAAAATCTCGCTTCATTGCATCGGCCTCCCTCTCTTCTAGGTGGTGCATCTACAGCTATAAAAAAGGTACGACTACATAGTAGATAAGTTCGTCTTTGCACTCTTGCAATCTCCTC